AGTTATTGTCTGCTATTTGCAATCATCAGACAAAAGTTTGACAAACTTTTGTCTGACGATTGCAAATAGCGTGAAAAACCAGGGTCACAAACTCACATTAATCCAACTATATATATATATATATATATATAAAATTATGTTTATTTTAATAGTTATACTTGACTAGTATTAGGTATCCCAGCACTCAGCTTATAGCCGATGAAATTCTTAACTAAACACTAAAAAAGATCATAAATTCAATTCGCCATGTTATTTCATCCAATATCTCCATAAAACATAATGCATTCCAAATAAAAGCTTATTTCATGAACTTTGTTTCTATCTTATTTATTTTTATATGTACTACAGTGTGCGAGGAACATTACACTTTGGAAATAGAGACATTTTGGTGATTTCCCAAAATTTTGGCCATTTTTTTCACTGACTGCAGTTTAGATTTCCTCAAATTTTCTAACATGCACACTCCACATGGTTTATTACAATTTTGGTAACACGTTAGTTTGAAAGGTAACAGTCTAAGCTTCATGAAAAGTTTGATTGTAAAATTCAAATGCTTCTTGTAAAAATAAAAATGTGTAACTCGCTCAGCCATCATTTCAACTCCATGCGACAGTCAATACACAGCATCAACACGGACACCCAAGAATCGACCAGCATGTTTTCTATGGACGAAATTTTCAAGGAAATTGGTAAGAATTTGTTTTAAATATTAATTTTCTATGATATGTAAAATGTAAATGGGATTTAAAAACAGTTTTCATCATAAAAAATATAAACAAAAATCGATTTGTTTATTTTACACTCAGATTCAAATCACAAAAAAAAAAACGTAGGACTTATTGATTGAAAAATATTCATATTCAAAGAATGAGATAAAAACATTGTACAAAAAAATTCTAGAATGTCTTTTATGTTTTTGCAGTATTCTCACAATAATTATCAGTATTTCAGTTACAAAGTAACATTTTGTTTAAAGTTACCCCTTCAAACAATTTTCTTACTTTTTAAATTATCTAATGAATGGATTTTAGTTACAATTTATTGCTATCTAGATACAAATTTATGATTTAATATTAATTTTCTTAATTTATTATTATTTCTTAGTAATATTTATTTCATACGGATTATGATTGTTTATTTTATTCTAAAATATTTTAATGTGTCAGTTTTAAGGACCACTGTGGAAATAGGTTTGTTGAGAAAATATTTTAGTGCTTCCTTATTTGTTACTCAGGTGTATGGATGACTCTAAATTTATATTTATCCCTGATTGTATTTAGTGCAATTTTTTTATGAACTGAAAATAAACTCAAATTCAGTAAGAAAACATAGGCAATAATTTGTAGATGACTACTAAGTAGTACTTCGACAAAATGGGATAGGATTATAAATTCATTTTTTTTTCTTTTTGAAGATGATGATGTACAGAATCAGTTACAATGTTGTTTTATGGACGTGGAAGAAAGATGTCTTTGCCTAAAGTGAAATGTTCCAAGAAGGGGCTGCTTCAAATATATTCATTGAAAGAGAAGTATCAGGAAACCTGGGAGTCTGCTATTATTTGGCTACATAAATTGTTCCCAATCTTTCCTAAGAACAGATGTGTGAACCTTATTGAGAAAGCAGAAGTTCAGAGTTGTCCAAAATCAGATTGTCCTGCATTGAGGTAACAAATTTGGGTCGTAAGCTTTTATGTGCAGAAGTAACAAATGGGCTCATACTTGAACTATATAAACTGGATACGCCAGCAAAGATATACTAGTCAGACTAGAAGAACTTGGGTAGTGCCTGAATTAGATTATTTGGAAGGATTGTATGAAGAGTATACCAAGACTTACTTTTGACTACTCAGTGAAGAGGTATCCCAAAACCCAGCCCACCATTACTGAAAATTTCCAAATAAACTTTATTTGATTAATTTTATGTCTGTGTTGTTTATTTTTATGTGCATAATGTGAGAGGAACATTACAGTTTTAAAAATTGAGACAATTTGGTGATTTCATACCGCTTACGTAGTGATCGGAACTAACATGTGTCAGAATTTCAACCTTTTGATCAAATTGTGACAGATAAAATATTTTTATTTTAATGATTTCAGTTGCAAATTTAGTGGTTGAATACCTGTTGTTAGTGACAACGGTACCCAATTCACAAGCAAAGAATTCACAGAATTCTGCAAAAATTTCCAAGTTGATCACGTGAGGATTCCTCCGTATCACCCACGCAGCAACGGACTAGCGAAAGGTTCGTTGATACACTGAAAAGAGCTCTTAGGAAAGCAACAGGTACCCCGACTAGAAAGGCGTTACAGCTGTTCCTGCAAGTGTGCGAATTACCCCGAATAAATCTGCCCCATCAGGCCTATCACCCTGGAACTAATGTTCGCAAGAAAGGTCAAGTCGGTTTTTGACAAATTGATACCAGAAAATAAGGTACACTCAACAGTCGCTATGGTTCCCAGGCGAAAATTTAACATTAATGAAAAATTTTTTTCAAAAATTATACAAATAATGCAACATCATGGGAACCAGGGGTCATAAAAAAACGCATTTGGGGATATGGTATACATTATACAAGGAAACAAATTTACACACAAACGGCACATTAACCAGTTGAAGAAAAAGAAAGACCCACGAATCTGAAGTAATTCCACAAGAAGACGAATTACACAAATTGTTTGATACGTTTGACCTGCAAATACCGCAGACTGAGCAGAAACAACATTAGATCTGCAAGAAAACGTAAAAGCGACACAAAATTTAATAATAGACCGAAAGGAAAAAATATTAATTTTTTCTTTCTCCCCACAATGAAAAAAAAAAAAAAAAAACAATTTTAAGGGGGGTGTTGGGCGCACCCACCTTCTAACTAGTAATGGACTGGTCCCTCTTATATAAGTCAGCTCTGGAGAGAGAGTGACAGAGCGTCAGAGAGAGAGTCAGCGTGAGCAGTCCAGATAAGCTTACCCGGTACATACCGTTGGACTATAGACTTTGGATATTGTTTCGTACTAACCAACCTTCGTTCTACTAATCACTCTATTGTTAATTGCTTTTATGAATATACCAGTATTTTCCTCTACAACTGTGTTTGTCTTGATTCATACACCGACACGCGGGAAACTCACAACATCTCAACAATACCACTTCATGATATGGCAAGTTTTCTGTTGTTTTCTTATGTTCATTAGTGGGTATTGCTTGGCATGTGTTAAGCTTCTCTCTCTCTACAGTTCATAAATTGTACATGTTGAGTCAGGACTGTACTTGTTCAGCATCTGCTCCATAAACATTCTAATGTTGATTTTAGGTCATTTTAACCATGATAAATGGAAAGAGCACCCCCAGAAATGGCTAGATATGAATTTTTGGTGTTTCTAGTGTAAGAAGACACAATTCAAGCAAGTCTAAAATCGGTCTTTCAAATACCTTGTGACAAAGGGTTAAAAAGCAATTTTTTTCAATTTTGAAGTGGAATAATCCAGAATATATCAATTTTATCACTCCCCCAAAAATTAGGCATGTTACTGGTATAGTCATAATATGATATTTGAAATTTGGGATTAATGTGGATCATATTTCCAGTTTTATGAAATGTCAAACCTCAGGTTATGAGTTGTTTGCACGTCGTTGCAGAGGGTTTGATTTATAAAATTTGCATATTCAAACTGAATTCATTTAAGAAATCTGCAGTGATACTATCTGTAATTTTATTATTAATTTCTTTGTTATTTACCTAACAAGCTAGTAAAACTGTTGTTCTTAATTACTTTTTAAAATATAGGAGTCCAAATATGGTATTTTGTCCTAATTCATAAAAGACAAAAAAAAGTTGAGCACATGTGTAAAAATAAAAATAAATCTGCCAAAATTAAACGGTTTGAGATATTTTGATGAAACAAAAACTGCTAAGTTTCTTTAATCATGTAGATTAAGAAGATAACACCTAGTAAATGTTTAAAATTTTCATCTGTGATACCTACTAGTATAAAAAATATCCAAATAATAAAATTTGCAAATAAAAATATATCTAAACAAACTGGTATCTGGGGGAAAAATCTGAAAAAAAAAAAAGAAGCCCAATGCCATAATGCTCAGCCAAAAGAAAAAAAACTCAATTGAGCAAAATAAGAAAATAAGATAAAACCATATATATATATATATATATATATATATATATATATATATATATATATCAAAGGTGACAAAGTATTAATAAGTATTCCTTTTATACTGACATGTAACTGAAAAGAACTTTTTCCAAATGTTATTTCCACAGAAAAATTGTTCAAATCAAATAGTGAATATATATATATAGTTAAAATTACTGTATACATTATCACATAATAATTTGGTTGAAGTTCATTCATTAATTATATTACAATATGAAGATATGAATCATAAAGAACATTTTAACATGCTCTTGTTATTGCTTTATATTTAGTGATTTAAAGCCTCTTCAACTTACTTTTGTCCACTTAAAATATTTGCTCCAGATCTATCTTGAGTATTTGTCAATACAATAATTTATATTTCATTTCTATAATGATAATCTTCAAATAGAAATCCTTTTCACTTATGCTGTTACACAAGAAAATGCAGTACAGACTCTTGTGGCATAAAGTATGGTAGGAATCTATTCATCACATGTCAATTTGGACCCAACACTATTATAGATTTATTTCAATGTTTTTTTGCTACAATTTTAAGTGTGAATCATGAATTTTAATAACATTGATTTGAATTTCAATGTACACAGAAGTTGAGCTCATGTGTTTTATATAGTTTCCTTCCTATTGTATTGAAGATAATATCATCACATAAAAAAAAATAGTAAGTAAAATAACTCTAAAATTTAACCAAATGCATATATCAATTTATATTAAACAAAAGATTGCTTTAGCATCTTTTTTCCTCACTGATTTTCTATATTTATAGTAAAGGGAGACAAGTCAATACCACACCAGCATATTAACAAATGAAAAACCATATTTACTTACCTCAAGCACTTCATCAATTTGAGACTGCCACTCATTGCAGCTTTGATTGATTTCAGCCCATTTTCGATTAAGTAAGCGCACCTGTCGTCTAATTTTCCTAATGAGGTAATGGGCTTCTCTTTCAGGTGACATGTCTGCAGCAGTTATTCCTTCAGCTTCTGTCACAGAAACAGATTAATTTCAGAATCATTTTATGTCTGTATAAACACATTTTAAAAACAAAAAAGAACAAGAAAAACAAGATTAAAAAATGGAGTCTGGGCAACCAGTTATAAAGGAAATAAGCAGAATTGGGGAATTTTACATGAAATTAACCAACATTATGTATAAGTATTTCAAAAGATCTTGAAATCTGCCATCGAAGAAGAAGATTGCATTTAAGCATCTGTAACTGGAAGCTGAAGATGTATGGTATATTTTCTTCATTATGAAATATATTCTACAAATTGATCATAAGAGTCAGTAAATGCCAAAAGATGAAGAAAAGGGTGCATGAATGATAGAGTTGTTTTGTTTTGGTAGTCTAAAAGTGATTGACAAAGAAAGGTTTTGTGAATGACTCATTGAATTCAAGAATAAGAAGATATTTCAATATTGTACTCGATTCACTGGATGTTCTTAATGTTGTCTTTTTCTTCTATTAAAGACAAAAATCAATATAGATGAAAAATAAACAACATTAATTTGTATGTTATTCATAAATACACACTATATTCAAATTTTGTGATGCAAGTCAATGTATTCACAATAAAATTGGTATTAACCAATCAATATGGTTAAAATTTTCAGTATATACTCATATTTACATAATAAATATTCCATGTGAATTTTATCTGATAATATCTGTTTTATTAAAAATATTTACAATAACTTATTTGATGGTGTGGGATGTTATTATGCAACTGAAAGGTTGTTCATTATATATATATATATATATATATATATATATATATATATATATATATATATATATATATATAATACATATATTATTAATGATAAATATATAATACATAAATAAATATATAATAGTATATCATTAATTTCAAATATAAAAATATTGCCATTAGTCATGAATAAGATACAACCACAAAAGAGAAAAAGATATTTCAAAGTTAGTGGGATTAACAGACATCATAGAGCAATAAAAAAAAAAATGAATTCTTTGGAAAGTTAAGATAAAGAAGAAAATGGATTTAAGGATGTCACAGAAAGACATTTGATAAAAATTAAAAGAGTAAAAAGCAAGAATAGTGGATTGACTAACAAGAAAATATTTGAAGAAGTTGGTATTGCAAATGTAGACAACATTGACCAAAGAGATGAAAGCAACTAAACTACCACCTTTAAATAAACAGTACAAGTTCTAAGTTGGGCAAATGCAAAGAGAATCCTCAATAACAATTTTTAGTGATGTTTGTAGAGCTAAATTGGATGGACTAAAGCTGAGACACATCATAGAAATAGCCAAGCAACACAGCAGCAGTTCACAGGTGGAGTAATGTTTCAGGCTAGTATTGCAAGCAATAAAAATATCTCTTTAAAACTGATGATAATTTCAAGGTAAATGCAGAGAATTATTCAAAGTTCTTGGACAAAATGTTTACTAAGTGCTACAGGTCACAACTAAGAAGCTTTAAGTTAAAAAGTATATTCATGGAAGATAATGATCCTTCACATTTCATAAAAATAAATATTTCCCACCTTGCCAAAAAAGGTTTCAAAGACACCAAATTAATGGAATGGCTGCCAGACTCTCCAGATGATTAATTAAATAGAAAACTTGTAGACCATCATGAAAAGAGATGTATATGAGAATGTAAAACAATATTCAAGTAAAGAAGATCTTTGGAAAGCAATAAAAACTACTTCATGTAATGTTAAAGTTTAAACAATAGAAAAGTTAATAAAATTAATGATTGAAAGACTGATGAAGTTTATAGAATATCAATGAGTCTATAAAATAATAAAATATTCAAGTATTGGTATATCATGTTAAATATATATTTCTATGGCCTATACCTTTTTGATTTATTTAGAAATAAAAAATGTCATAAAAATGTTATAATTATTGAGTTTTCATAATAAAAAAGTTATCTCCATAAACAAATTATTGATAAAGGATAAATATTGTAAACTGAAAGTCACATGATATTTTGCTAATATAAATATATCATGAATTTTTTACAAACATTGATTGGTTTTTAATCATGAAAACATTAACTTGCATAATAAAATCTGATGTAATACATTCCATAAACAATGCTTTTTGGTTAAAATAGCTTTCTTGATTGACAAAAAGCTTATTTATATTTTCTAGGTTATTTTAACATTGTAAAAAATATAAAGTAGAAAAGAACAGACACATAGAAGAAAGAGATTTCATGAATTGAATATATATATATTTAAATATTTTCAGAATTGATAAAACTTGGATTACCTTAAAAATATATTCAATAATTACAGAAACAGCAGCTGTTGATTTGGATCAGTTAAACAAAATCCTTTACTGAAACCTTTCATGTGATCACCTTGTAAGCATCTGTTCTTCTTATGTAATGCCATACTCGGCTGAATTTTCCATTAATAGTTGAAGCTATTTCAGTATAGAGCAGCTGTTAGTTGCTTTTTATTAACAGGGAAGGATTTCTAACTTCAGATATTTTATGAAAAATGAGTATTTTGGCTTCTAAGCTTTAACAAGAATTTATGCACAGAAATAAATTTTTTTTAAACGTATATATATATATATATATATATATATATATATATATTTCTGTGTATAAGTTATTTTTATAGATACAATTTATTCAAAATAAATTTAATAAAAATAGCATATAAACGGAATATATATTAAAATAATTGTTGGAGTTAATTGATTTCATTATATGTTGCCATTGTTTACATTAAGATATGCATCATGAGCATATATGATCAATCAAGAATAATCATCGAAGATTGCTTATAAACAGTAATTTGTACTTTGCTAATCAGACATATCTATGTAGCTGAATGGTACAGCACATCAGGCCAAATGACAATTTCTGTATAGGAATACAGGTTCGATTCCTGTCAGAGAACACATATTTTCTATGAAATTTCTTGAACATTCAGGCCAATAAATGTAATTAATGTTGTTTAATTAAAAAACAGAGCATTTGCTTAAATAAATTTTATCTACAAAAATAATGTATAAAGAGAAAATATATTAAATTAATTGTTAGACTTAATCCATTTTATAATATATATATATATATGTATGTATGTATGTATATATAAAGGAAATATGGTCTAATTTTGATCCTGATTAAGGCACCTTAATTACCAGGATGATTCACAGACACAGAAGAATTTAGTAAGCAGCATCTTATGGGAGAGAAAGAAGAGAAGTGAGAGAGAGAGCAGAATGGAGTAACTCTGTGAAGGTAATATATTAAATTCATGAAAGAAAAATCATTGACTAATTTTTAAAAGGAAAAAATATTTTCTTCATTTCTCAATGATAGGCTTTCCATGAAGATAATGTTTTAAATTGTTTATTTGTGTGTAGGAAGACAAGGAAGAATGATATTTTGTTGGGTTATAAAATTTATAATCATTAAATTATGTAAAATTAATAGATTTCAGGAAAATTGAAAGCAATATATTAATTTCTAATGATCATCAGTGTGTAGGAGATAAGTTTTGTGAAGGTAAGAACCAGATCACATTCACAAGCAATATGTAAAATTTGATTATAATTTGAATTTGATACAATATTGATAACAAAGAATATCCTTTTTAAAAATTTTGAAGATAAATCAAATGACTTCAGTAAATTACATCTAAGATGTTTTTAAAATAATTTACAAAGAATAAGGAATAAATATAAATATTGGTGATAATCATATTAAAATAGGGAAAGAAAGGAAGGACATGTATTAAATATCTTTACTCGATTTCCAACAATCATTATAATAGTATTTTTAAAATACATGGTAATAAGTATATTAAAAATATCAGAAGTAACAAATTCTAAATTATATACAAATACTTCTGATTGCAGTAAAGTTATATATCATACTCAGTTAAGTCGTTGCATAAAATGAATATGGACAACACCCTGTTCTTGTCTGGGAAGACAATTTATAGTCTCCACTCTTCATGAAAAACACTGGAGTCTCAGCTGAAAACTAACTTGTGGAACATGAAAGTTCTCCTTTAATAGTATATTTGTAACTGCCAAAAAATATGAGTATCATGATTGAATGAATGAAAAGTCTGGGAAAGACATAGAGACTGTTCAGATCATAGCAATGATCTGTTACAATATTTAGGAAGGTACTGGAGATTTGTAGAAATTTGCTGTCACTCAAGCTTCAATGAAGACCACCAGATATTTGGTATAAACATGAAAAGAAAAAATTTTTTGGTGATGATGTTATAGTCATTATTTTTGTTTGCAATTTATATGCAAAAATGTTTCATTTTCTATGTCAAATATCTAATCAGTTCCATGATTCACCAAAATAAGGAATTTTAGAAATTCACAAAGAGCTTTTCTACTGATAAGAATTTTTTTTTTAAATAGTGGCATAATAATTTTCTTTTTTAAAAGTGGCATAATTTTTACTTACTGCAAGTAAATCTGAAACAAGGTTTCAAGTACATTAAACATTTATCATATAATTATGATATTGATACACAGATGAAAATTATTTCTCTTGGCTTCTAAATCTGTGTTTACCTTCCTTTATGTTAGTTACAATTAGAAAACTAAAAATTTTTCATTGAGAACTAAACTTGTCTTGTTTCAGTTTATTAATCTAATTGCTAATCTATTAAAAAAGACTTATCACAAACAGGTCATATAAGTTTTTTGCCAGGAAATTCCTATAAGGAATGTTGCAAGAGAAAATGAAAATATATTACAATTTGAACAAAATATGTTAAGTATGCTGGTGAGAACTGTATATTATATTGGAGTTCCTCTTCACAAACTATGTTTCATCTATGTACATAGATGAAACATAGTTTCATGGCAAAAATAAAATTGAAAAAAGAAAACTCAGCTCAGTAGATCTTGTCAATATTTTAAAACAGAAATGTAAAAAGTTTTGTTATAATTACTAAAGCCAGAAATAAAATAAAAAACAATCACCTTCAGTTAAATTTTTAT